GGCGGCGTGTCGGCATGTCGGCGTGTCGGCGTGGTGGCATGTCGGCGTGTCGGCATGTCGGCGTGTCGGCATGCTGTCGGAGTGAGAGCTGACAATTTCTGCTTGTCTTGGTTTAAGTTACGTCACTTGAAAACGGAAAAATGAGTTAAAAAATAAAATCAACAGGGTATTTAAGATTGCTTAAGATTTTTTATTTTATATTTATTGTTTTTATTTTTGTGTCCCGCGACGGTCGCGTTACCTCTGTGGTATATTATTTTATTATATAACTGCGCCAATTTGCTAGAAATTTTAATTTTTATTTAGTATCCGTTGTTAGGATTTATTTAATGGATTGTTTAGATATAAAGGAATTTAAGCGCGGAGCGCTGCCTTTTATTTATACACAGAGAAGAGTCAGCGCCGCCGCCACGTGGCGCGCGACTCTCTCGCCTTTTGTACATAATGAGTGCTTATTTACGCTTTTTTGATATTATATTTTATTTAATTTACGATGATGTACGATATTTTATCTCTGGTAGTGCGAGGTTGTGTCCGCGTGTCGCGCAACCACCTGCACCTGCATTTATTGCCCAAGTGTTCCCACGTCTCGGTACAAAACATGAATTCGTCCTCGTCCGCAACATTAAATACATCCTTAGAATGTGCAGATATTTACAACGTTAATGTTTTCTTCTGATATCTTATGTGTTTGTTTTTTATAAGATAGAAAATATATGGGTCGTAAAGGTTCGCCTCCTCGTTGTACAGTGTCCCAAACCTCGTTGCAGGACAATATACAATTGTATATTTCCCCGGTGATATTGTTTGTTGTAGATCTCCTTGTATCTTGTTAAACTAATCAAAGCACTAATCATTTTTCCTGAATATGTAATTGTGGTCGCTCGAGGCGCGGCGCAGTTTGTCCCGCGCCCGCAGCTTAGTCTAAGTCTCTATCAACGAGTTAGTATTAGTGCGCGCCGAGCCGCTGCGCTGCGCCGCGCTGCGCCGCACTGCGCCGTGCTGCGCCGCGCTGCGCACTCCCCGCCGGCTGTAGGCTCGCTCACTATTGTACAGTGTGTATATTTTTGTAAAATTCAATTCAAACTTGTGGCAATATTACGTGAATTTTTAAAAAAAATCTATATTTAATAATAAACAATAATTATCGGTACAATTGTTGCGTATTGATCCGGCGCGCCCCGCCCCGCACCTCCCCGCGCCCCGGTTGTGATTAGCGTCGCCCCGCCCCCGACCCCCGCCCCGCGGAGCTCGGCCTCGGCGAGCGCCTTCTCAAACTTAAGTAGGGACTGTGAGGGCTCTGGCCCCGGCGACGCTTAGACTGGTGATGGGGCTCGAATCTAGCTCAATTTTATTGATACTTAATTATTATAATTATTATTATATTTTTTACTCGCTTGTTATGCTGTTAACTTTGTAGAAGTCCCCTTCCCCC